GTCGCGGCATCGTCCGGTCACCTCTGGCTAAATGGTCGTAGATCTTTGCTGTAATTGCAGAGATTCCGCGGCAGGGGGCTCTTTTCCAAGGAGGTTGAGGTGCCGATTTTGTTGGTGTCTTTTCCAATAAACGAAGTCCCCAGCTTCTGATATATGGGAAGCGATGTCCTCTGTCGAGGGTGAGTACCCGGAAAGCCATCGGCCAGGCGGGAACACGCCTCCGAGTGTCGCGTGAGCGCCGAGCCACGTCAGGACCACTCGGGTCGGGGCCAGCATGAGGAGGCGGCGGGCGAGGTTTCGTCCGCCTCAGGCCTCCGGACCGTGTCAGCGCTCAGAACTTTAATGAGAGGCATTTCTATGGAAACAAAAGGAAAACAAAGGTTAATAGTTACTATTATAAACTCAGTTTCTCAGTTTGGAGAGCAGCCAGTTGAGAACATTCCTGGCTTTGGGCTTCCGGCATCTTTAGGTGGTGGAATGAGGGTGGCCGTTTCCCTGGGGGGCGGGTGTTCCTGGTTTGCAGTTGAGGCCCTGGATGGTATCGGCAGGTGCCCCAGAGAACTGTCTGGAAGGTCCACACGGGGCAGGCAGACACTGCCCCGACGGGGTCCGTGGGGGTGACTCCTCTGAAGTTCGCAGCAAGCCGTCCGCCGCCCATCCGGCTGTGGGGCCTTTGGGAAAAGGGCAGTTTTTGTTCTTAGTGATTCCAAGTCAGAAAAGTGGAAGGGAGACCGGAAACATCAGTTTGGATGGTGTAGCCAGATACCTGGGGAGGGAGCCCGGCCGCCCTGGGCTCCCCCAGGCCGCTGCACGCACCCCTGTCCGCCAGCGAACCGGAGGGATTCACCAGGTTGCTTCGAGCGTCTCTTACCCTCACTTCCCCACCCGCCAGCTGCAAACGCTCGACCCCCAGAGGTGGTGGGAGGGGGCTGAGAAGAGAGGGGAGGTCGTTAGTGGTCGTGGGGCTCCTCCTGCCCAAGTGTGAGGTTGACCCTCTGCGGGCGAGGAGCCAGCGCTGGCGGCCCCGGGGCGGGGGGGGGGGCAGAAGCCGCCACCACCTCCCACGTGAGCCGAAAGCCTGGAGTGGGGGGTCGCTGGGAGCCGTCGTCCAGGCCAGCGTCTTTGCAGTACTGCTGGCGTCCCCGTCGCGATCACGGTGATTTATCAGAAAAGCAGGTCTGCGGTCTTGGGGGCTCCTGGCACAGAGCTCCTGAGACTCTTGGAATTTCCTAAGGGATAAGACTAAAGGCGTCTTTGTTCCGTGAACGGGGTGACTCTGGGCCGCCCCTAAACCGCCGCAGGCCGGGGGCTGGTTGCCAGGAACCTGCTCAGAGAAGGGGCCCTGGAGCTTTATTCCTCCCTGACCTCAGGCTAGAAACCCAGAAGGGGGGTGGCTGGGGATCTTCCGGGGCGCTGGGGGCCTCTGCGCGCCGTCCCCGCCCCTCACCTCGTGCGTTTTCTGTCTCCCTGGTCCCGAGCTGTGCCCTTTATCACAGGCCAGCGACCCAGTGAGCGAACCGTCTCCCCAGTTCCGCGAGCCCCTCTTGCAGCTCGGTGGAACCCAAGGCGGCGGTTGTGGGACCCGCGACAGCTTGGGGACCAGGGTCAGAGTGGCCGTCCCCCAGCCCGAGCCCCCGCGTCCCCGGGGGGCCCGCGTCAGACGGATCCGGATGATAGGACACCCCGCGGGGTCGGAGGGCCGCGTTCACATGCACACACCCCACACCCTCATACACACTCACTCACACACTCACACTCACAACTCACAATTCCTCGCACACACACTCTCACATCACATACACCTCACACCCACACACTCTCACACACACTCTCACACATGCCCCATACTCACACACCCATACATGCACACATCACACCCCCACACTCTCACACCTACACACTCTCACACACTCACACACACATCCCCGCACACTCACGTGCACACATGCCTCATACTCACACACCCATACATGCACACATCACACCCACACACTCTCACACACTCCCACCCCCCACACTCCCACCCACCCCATACCCCCCACACTCATCCCCCACACCCACACCCTCTCACCCCCATCCCCACACACTCTCATACACACATGCACCCCACACATGCACATATCCACCTCACACTCACACTTGTGCACACCCACACACTCATACCCATGCATACTCCCACACAATCTCACAATGCACACTTGTGCACACACACTCATACACACCCACTCTCACACATTGCTCTCATCCACACACACACACTTGCCCACATACTCTTACATATACTCTCACACCCACACCTGCAGATTCTTACACACACACACAGCTCCGACCTGTGCAAACTCTTATACACACTCACACCCCCACATGCTCACACTGTCATTTGTCACCCACACACTTACACATATGCACATCCCCATGTGCACACTCTCACACTCATCCACACACTTTATACATACATACCTACCCCACCCACGCACTCTCATCCACACACAGCATGCACACTCCTGCACACTCACTCAACACTCTTACAGAATACTCACATGCTCTAGCACGCACACACCCCACACCCACGTACACACACACACACGCGTGCACACATGGGATTCTTGCAGTCCAGTCTCCCTTTTACTAAAATCCTGGAATGGAGCTCAGGTCAAGTCCTCAGCAACTAGGCGATCTGACCTCCTCCGTCTGCCATCATCAGCGGCGTTGGTCAGGTGGCGTCCTTCAAAAAGATGTGTCCGTGTCCTAGTCTCGTCACTGAGATTGTGACCTGACCTGCAAATAGGGTCTTTGCAGATGTGATTAAGGGTCTTAAGATGAGATCATTCTCGACAGAGCGTGGACCCTAAATGCAACTACTGATGTCTTCGTGAGAGAGGAGAGAGGGATTGGCAACGGACACGGACAGAGCAGGGAAGCAGCCACGTGGAGACGGGGCGGAGAACGGGCCGATCTATCATGTTAGGGACGCCTGGGGACACAGGAGCCGGAAGAGGCAGAAGGGACCCCCCCAGAGCCCCCAGAGGGGGTCTGAAGCCGGTTTGGGGCTTCTGCCTCTGGAGCTACAGAGACATTTCTCCTGTTGAAGTCTCTCCGTTTGTGTGGGTTCGTCGCGGCCGTCAGGCCCCCTGGCCCCTGCCTTCTCCTGTGGGGTCTGTGGCATCGGGGATGCTCTGGGGAGCAGCCCAAGGGGCTGAATGTGCAGGGGGCCGGAGCCTCGTACCCGTGCATCCAGGGGCGTTGTGCCCCCGGGGAGAGGCCAGCACGAGGCCGCTCCCTCCTCCTGCCCACTCGGGACCCCCACCTGCAGTGCACATGCCAGGAGACGTGGGTGGGTGGACGGAGGGAAGAAGGCAGGACCCCCCCCCCCAAATACCGAGCCTGGCATCCGCCGTGACGTGGAGAAGGGAATGGGGCTCAGAGTCAGCTTGGGAGAGTTACTGAACAAAACTGACTTTCATAAAGCGAATAACAAAAAGCTCTTACATTTTTCATTTTCAATCAATCTGCACTTATAAATGTCTTTATTCAGTTTTCACTCTGGGTGGGGAGGCCATTTAAATTTTAATTTTAATAGCTCAAAAATATGAGGGCTGTTACTCTTGCCTATGTTTTTTTCCTGGAAAAGATCAGAAGCTCCTTGCCCAAAGAAAAATAAGTCACTAGCTTAATAAATAATGAAACACAAAGCAAACTACTAATGCTTAATTTTTCATACCTCCATGAATATTTCAGCAAATAATAGAAGGCTCCTTATATCGCAATAACAAGGGCTCCAGGGGGCCGGGGGCCGGGGGACGGCGGGCTCTTTCTTCCCCTGACTCACCTGATGTCGTTTGTAAAAATTAAGGCAGGAATTAGTATCATTTTCTAATTCATTGAAGAAAGACATTTATATTCCAGACGACACCTGGAGGCATCTGTGAGCACACACCTCCCGTCGACAGCGCTCGGCTTCCTCTCCCAGAAGACATTTGTCATTGAGGCTGGATTCCGCTCTGGCTGCCATGCACGGTGGCGACGCGGTGCGCACCTGCCGGATCCGCCCGTGCGCACTGACAGCTCGGTGACGCCAGCGTCCCACATGGGAGTGTGAGCTGTCATTCACGGTGAGAGAGACAAGCAGGGACAGGACTCGCCTGCTTGGGATGGGCACGCGGGAAGTCTCTCACAGATACACCCGTGTGCTCACACGCACATGCATGCTTACACTCATGCTCACAGGCTCACATGCACATATGTGCTCACACTCACATGCTAACATACCCCACAGATACACATGTGTGCTCACACACTCACACACATGCGTGCTCACACTCACATGTTCATATAACCCCCACACTCACAGGTACACATGTGCTCAGCTCACACACACATGCATGGTCACACTCATGCCCGCATGCTCATACACCCCCCACACTCACAGATACACACATATGCTCACACACTCATGCACACGCATGCTCACACTCATGCTCACATGCTCATATACCCCCCTCACAAATGCACACGTGTGCGCATGCATACACAGCACACCATCGTCAGAACCAGGGTACAGGCTGGCAGCTGGAGGTCTCAGTCTCCTCAGAAACTTCGGCACTTCTGGCCTGGCTTTGCGCCACCTGAGCCCCTCACTCTTCAGGCGTTAGGAATACAATGAAAGCAACCCTCAAACAATTTCCAAAGTTTCCAGGACACTTGGTGACACCTTGAACTAGCGACCTCTCCTTCCTACCTCTCTCACAGCGTCACCGGAAGAGCCCTCCCTTGCGGTCAGGAGCAGGCTCGTCCCCTGGGCAGGTGCTGAGTCTGGTGCCCACTAGGGACACAAAATGTCTCCCAGGCCCTCCTTACACGTACCTGAGGCCCGATCAGGACAGTCTGGAGAGCCACGTGTTCTTTCCCCTCAGGGGACAATGTGTGACGTCCCTGTGAGGTGAGGCCAGGCACGGGGGCCTCTCCTAGCAGTGAGGGGTGGGAGCCCGGTCAGGACGAGGATGGGGACACGGGCCAGGCAGTTAGGTGGTGACCCGTCCTGGCTGTGGGTGCGGGCGGCCGAGTCCCTCACCCCCTTCGTGTTTGGTCCACACCCGTATTCCCCCACCTGCTCGGCGGCCTGGCCAGAGGGCGGGATATGGGATCATCCTGGCGGGTCAGACCCAGACATGGGGGCTGAGGTCACAGAGCCGGGTCAGCCCCAGGCCAGCGTCCATCCCCAGGAGGACGCTCGGCTGCGCCCTGGGCTGGCCGGCCGCGGGCCTGCTGTAAGGGTCCAGTGCGTGTTTGCTGGGGTGGGGGGGGGTCTCAGGGGCACGGGTGGGCCACGGAGGAGGGCGGTTGAGGGACAGAGCACACAGTGTAGACTCCTGCTCTGGCCCTGGGGCTCAGTCCTTCTGGGACCCCGACACGTGGAACAGCCTGGGGATCCTGCCAGCCTGGGCAAGAGACTCCCACCTGCTGAGTCTCCCCGGTGGGGAGCCAGGCCCTGGGAGACATGGCAGCCCCACCCCGATGTGCCGCCCCGCGGGCGGGTCCACCCCGCTGTGCCCACTGTCCACCCCGCTGTGCCGCCCCGTGGGCGGGTCCACCCCGCTGTGCTGCCCCGTGGGCGGGTCCACCCTGCTGTGCCCACTGTCCACCCCGCTGTGGCTCCCTGTGGGCGGGTCCACCCCGCTGTGCCCACTGTCCACCCCGCTGTGCCGCCCCGTGGGCGGGTCCACCCCGCTGTGCCCACTGTCCACCCCGCTGTGGCTCCCTGTGGGCGGGTCCACCCCGCTGTGCCCACTGTCCACCCCGCTGTGCCGCCCCGTGGGTGGGTCCACACAGGCAGGCCAACTGCGCCTTTGCATGAACTACAGAGTCCTCTCTCTCCCAGGACAGCTACAAAAATCACCCACAGGGCTGATGGGCACCAGAAGGTCGGCCGGGACCCCGGGGGCTGGGGGTGAACGGCCAGGGAGGGGATGGGCCCCCGCTGCCCCGGGAGGCCTTGGCCATGGGCCTGCACCTGGTCCCTCTTGCCTTGAGGTCAGCACGGTGAGAACGGGGGCTGGTCTTCACGACCAGTGGCGGGAGCGTCAGGCCTGGGGAGGGGCTGTGCCCTCCCCAGCGGGGTCTTCGCATGTGCAAGCCCCTCTGGGCCCCAGGGTCCTTGCCGTGAGTGAAGCCCAGTGTGGCCCGTCCAGAGAGGGTGAGGGTCGCCGGCCCGCGGGCATCGGACTTGGTTGGCGGGTAACAGTCTTACCACAGCTGGACCCTGTCAGCTGCATTTCCCGGCTGGGACCTTCGTGAAGCTTCACTGATCTGCACACAAGTGGCTGCCTGCCTGTGACTGTCGGGAAACTCAGCTGGTGCCTGTCCTTGGGACACTCAGGGCCACCAGCATGCGGGGGGTCCTGCCCGTGTCTCACCCTCCAGGTGTGGGGGTCAGAGCTGGGGGCCCCGGCCCTGGCGTTAGCTAGCATGTCCCTCTGCCCCGTTTGACACCCGCCTCCTTGTGTGGGTCTGCCCGCAGCTCACCCCCCCCCAATGCCCACCCTGGTGTGGCCGCCACCTGGGGCGCCCCAGACCTGTGCACCAGCCAGGGTGGCAGCTCCAACCCAGCCCAGCAGTCACAGAGTGGTCCCCAAGAAAGGACAGGACCACAGGGCGCCCGCCTGCTCAGTGTCATGAGCCCTGGAGGGACTCCGTCCTCACGCTGGGCTCGCCGGCGGGACCCAGGCCGGAGGGGCTCCGTGGTGGGCAGGCGCCTGGAGGGGGGCGTGTGAGTGGTGCCCCGGGGGTCCCGGGCGTCCTGGAGGGCAGGCTGTTGTGGTCTGTGCGCGAGGACGGTGGCCTCACAGGGACTTTCCCAGGGGTCCCCAGCTTCGGTGACTACGACCGTGAAATTCTGTCAAATCGCCGGGCACCGTCACAGCCGACTGAGCCTGCGTTCAAACAGCCGCGTCGTCTGGGCACCAGGAGGGAGGACAGGAAGTGCCCGTGAGTGGCGGCGGCGAGCAGGAGAAGACAGGACAGCGCCTGCCGGGAGCCTGTTTCTTCCCCGGACTCAGGAAGGCGCCGCTTCCGGGGACCCAGGTGCTCAGAGCCACGAAGCCAAGCAGGGGCCGTTTGCACCGAGACCAAACCAACTGAGCCCAGGAGCCCGATTCAGAGGTTCAGGCACCAAAGTGCCCTAAGGCCACCTGAACGCTCTCCACCCAGCATGGACCTCCTCCTGGCCTCAGACGGCCCCCCAGACAGACGCCCCCAGTCTACAGATGGAGAAGCTCGGGCGTGGTGGCTGAGCGAGTGGCCTGCCGCTGCCCCACGAGGCATTAGCGGTGTGGGGACTGAGCCCGTGGGGTCCGGTTCCCGAGCCTGAGCTGTGCCCCCGCCCCTACAGCGACCCCCGAGGCCCTGAGGGGGCGCCCTGGCAGCTCGCTGCGGCTCCTGCCGCCTCCCTCCCTTGGCGCCCAGGTCACGGCCACAGCACGTTCCGGCTGCTTCCCGGGGGCTGCCTGGGACCTAGCGGAGCTCTGGCCGCAGCAGGAGGCGCCTCCCGGCCTCATCTGCCTGAGCGGCGCTCCGACGATGCAGTGAGGACTTACAGACGGCGGCCCTTCTAGAAGCAGGGAGCTCTCTGAACCCCTGAAGGAGGCCACCCCGCGTTGTGACTGGCCGCTCCGGACCGGGGGCGGGGGCGAAGCGGTAATGGGGGGGCAGGGGCAGAGCTTGGAGCACAGGAAGGGGGGGGCTTAGCCTGGTTGGGGAGGCAGAGCCCACGGGACTCACTGAGGCAGACACTGCGTTTGGGTCGAGTGTACCCAGAGCCGTGTTACACCATGTGGACAGCACTTCCCTCCACGCAGGGCAGAGGCGAGGACGCCAGTGGGGGGTGGCGCGGGGCGGGGACCTGGAGCCACGGGGCCGCGTGTGGAAGCTCTGGACAGAGGGTGCGGCTTGCCGGGGTCGCCACAGGCCTCCGCATGGTGGACCGTCTGTGTGTCTTTGGTCACCTGCCTGCCCTCTCCCCAGACCACCGTCCTTCCCACACGGACACATGACGGCCGTGGTCTCGTTCCCGGGCTCTTCCTCTCTCTAACGAGCGGCCGGTTCAGCCTGGACGCAGCTCTGGCTTCTTTCCTCTGAGCCGCAGGTCCCACCGCTGTGGCCACGCTTCCGTGAACACGAGGTCACTTTCCTACCGTTTGCAGATGTTAGTCAGGAAACTAGCCCTTGATCTTCATAAACTGCCTATTGCAAATTGTCCTCAGGTTTTCATTTGTCTTTTCACTGCTTACGGTGGGATTTTTCTCATTTCGAAGTTTCTGGGCTGTCTTTTCGTGGTTGTTTATAGTCTCTGAGTTTGTGTCAGACCAGACTGAGAGCATTTGTCCGTCTCCTGCTTTCTTTCAGAATTTTCCGTCTCACTCGGTCTTTCTGTTCAGTTTGTGGATTCCCCTGCATGATCTGCTGCGGGAGCGAGGTCGGGCGTCGGGCTGTGAGGCCCCGGCAGCAGGGCCACCTCCCGCCTGACCCTGGAAGTGGTGTGTCCCTGCTCCAGGACACGGCCTAGTGTCCCGACCTCACGAGACGTGTGTTGTCTGGTAGGACTGCTCTAACCTCGACTTGGCTACAGAATTTTTTGAATGCATGTGTATTTGTTTTTCAAAATAAAATTTAGAATGAACTTGATCGGTTCTTAACATACGCAAGCACACATGCACACACCTTTGTGGACTATTATTAGAATTACATTAAGTTCACAGATTAATTTAGGGAGAATTAACATCTTTGTAATATTGGCTTTTCTATGAATCTGGCGGTTTCTTTTATTTTTCTTCTGAACTTCAGTAGCATTTAAAGTTTTCTTTGTGAATATCTAACCTATTTCTTGTCAGATTTCTTCCTGGGACTTTTTCGTGCCACTGTTGTCATGGTTACAGCAAAAAGGGCCATCTTCCCATTTTTTTTTTAACTGGCCACTGTTTTCATAGGACATCCGTGGATTGTTCCCAGGAATTTCGCCGCTGGCTTTTTGGTCTCCTGTAGGTAACACGCCCCTGGAATGGCCAGGTACACGGCCCGCCTCCCAGAAACAGAAGTCACTTTACTTCCCTTTTCCCCTCTTTATGCCTCTGATTCCTTTATTTTATAGAATTGTACCAAGTTAATCTTGAACATCTTTGTCTTGTTTCTGACTTAATGAGAATAATGATAATCTTTCCTTAGGATCTTGGTAAATGCTCATTTCTTCCTAATTAATACAGAGCTTTTAACCAAGAATGGATGCTGGGTTTTATCAAATGCCTTATAGGCACTTTGGAAATAATCATGCTTTTTTGTGTTGACGTTCATTACATGCTGATTTAGAAGAATAAATGTCTGAATATTAAACTACCTGTGAATTCTGAGGATGAGCTCACTTGGCCATTTATTTTTATTTTTATTTTTTTGTTTTTGGTGCTATTAGATTCTACGAGCCAATATTTTATTTATTTTAGATTTTTACATTGATATTCACATCCAAGATTGGTTTGTAGCTTACATTCTGTGCTACCTTTGTCAAAATCAAATGTCGATGTTGTTTTGCCTTCATGGACATAATTTGGAAGATTTCCTTCTTTTTCTATGCCCTGAGACTGTTTAAATAGCATTAATTATTAATTCTGTTTAAAAGAATTAGTATATTTGTAAGATTGTGTCTCTGTATCCAAGAGTACGGCAGTTCCTTCCCTTTTTTCCAATCTCCCAGAAATAGCAATGGAGTTAGCTTTTCCTTGAAAATTCTGCACCCCGTCCCTGGCGATGTGGGGTCGGGGTTCTGGGTGCGCAGCCCTCTGCCACGGGCGCTGCGTCTTCCCTGGTAATGGATTCCCTGAGGGAGCTCTTTCTCCCGGTGCTCCCCTACTTCACATCTTCCCAGAAAAGCATCCACATAGACGGGAGGCTGCATGTGATTCCTCCTGTATCATTTATTAGTTTGCACATTTGTGCTTTTTCAACGTTTCTTAATTAGCAATAGGCTAACTCAGTGTTGGCTTTTTCTGGTTCTTCTGTTTTCTAATAATTTTTATTATTACATTTTATTTATTTTATTTTATTTTATTATTTATTTCTGAGAGAGAGAGAGAGACAGCATGAACAAGGGAGGGTCAGAGAGAGAGGGAGACACAGAATCCAAAGCAGGCTCCAGGCTCCGAGCTGTCAGCACAGAGCCCGACGCGGGGCTCGAACCCACGAACTGTGAGATCATGACCTGAACCGAAGTCGGACACTTAACCGACTGAGCCACCCAGGTGCCCCATATTATTACCTTTTAAATTCCTTTCTTGTGCTTTTATGTTAATGTTATTCTTTCTAAAACTTGAGCTGGATGGTTGATATTCTGTTTGGTTCATCATCTTAAATATTTATTTTTCGTCAGAGGACTGTCTTTGCCAGTAATGTGTATGACTTTTCCTCTGCTTATTTCTGAGATGCTCTATTCAATAAAATTGTTTTGATTTCTTCTTGAGTCTCAGAGTTGTTTAAGACAAGGGTTTTTATTCAGTTAGTAAGGCTGTTTGTAGTTGTGTGTTTTTTAATTTTTTTAATGTTTATTTATTTTCGAGAGAGAAATTGACAGAGTGTGAGCGGGGGAGGGGCAGAGAGAGAGGGAGACACAGACTCTGAAACAGGCTCCGGAGCTGTCAGCACAGAGCCCGACGCGGGGCTGGAACCCACGGACCGCGAGATCATGGCCTGAGCGTAAGTCGGACGCTCAACCGACTGAGCCCTTGTAGTTGTGTTTTAATGTCTGACTTTGCTGTCATGATCAGACGGTGTTCTCCAGACTATTTCTACTTTGGGGACTATTTGAGGGGTTTGGGGGAACCTCCTTTGGGATCAGTATTTGAATGTCCTATGGGCACTTGAAACAAAAGTTTTGTTCTCTGTTCTCAGCACACGACATAGATCCCCGCTGGAGGCCTCTGACTGATACATGACATTGTACGCTTGTCTTCTTGGACCATCAGTAGCTAAGACAGAATTAGAGTTTCTCGTTATGAATACTTTCTACTGTTTTTATCGATGTTTTCTTAATGTGATCTGACCTTGTCTGCTGGCAGGATACTTTCTCTCTGGCCTGATTTCTTCCGTCCCAGCTCTCTCGGCCACACAGGGGCTCACGCGTCTGCGTTCACAGCAGGGAACCAGTTTGCCTCGTGGTCCAGCTGGAGTCTTCTTCATTCAGCAGGTGTGTGTCAGGCCCCTAACATTTACTGTATGACTTTGGTCTTATTATATTTTATGTGTTTATATCTGTGTCTTATTTATATTTATTCCTATTTTTGCATGTTTGTGCAACACTCTCTGTTTTGTATTGTTTTTATTTATTTTTTTCTTTCCCCAAATGATCCGTGGATCCTGTGCCTCCCGCTGTGAGGACGCGCCTCGTGGGGGGGCTCCTCCCGCGGGCCCGGGCGTGGCCGGGGTGACCCAGGGCACCAACGCTTCGCGGCCCCTGTCCCGCCCCTGCGCTCCCGCCAGGCTGAAAGCAGGCTGACACGTCCTCAGTTTGTCTAGGCTGGGCGGATGCATTCAACAATCCTCACGCTTTCATTGCCTGAGACACGAATTCCAAATGTGTTTTTTGCCTCAAAAACTGTTTTCCACCCACCGCCCCGTTCACAGCTCTGGGGCTGCATCCTCAGCGCTGACCCGTCGTGACTGCCCGGGGGTCTGTGCGGACGAGGCCGCTCCTCCGGCGTCTTCGGGAACGGCTCTGCGAAACCCCGTTTCTCGAGGTGCTGGCTTCTGAGTCGTGCTGCCGGGTAAAACAGAAGACCCTCGTTGAGTTAGGATTTCAGGTAAGTATCAAACGGTGTTTTTAGTCTGAGTACGAGCTGTGCGGACATTCAAATCGGTACGGTGTTTCATGGGACACATTTATGCTGAAAATGAATGTTTTATCTTAAACTTGAGTTTGACTGGGTGCCTTTTCTGTGTGTGTGTGATTTGCTAAATCTGCCGACTCTAAATCTGAGTGACGCGGTGACTGGGAGCAAGCGTCCCCTCACCTCTGGGGTGTGCTCAGGTGACCGTGACAGGTGGTGACGCAAGGCGGGAATGGGCACAGCGGACGGAGGGCCGAGCTCCAGAGGTAGAGGCGGCCAGGCCAGACAGGGATGCTGACGGAAGTCCCCTGGGGGCACTCGGGGATCCGCATAACGCCCCGCCCCCGGCCGGCAGAACCGTTCATTCGCGGGAGAGGGTGAAGCCAGAGGCCCCCGGTCCAAACGTCAGGCCGGGAGGCCGGGGACGCCCCTGCTTCGCTGGGGTCTGCGGTGGCCGCTGCGGGGTCTCCCGGCCCCACCAGGTCGGCACACACTCCGGCCTGTGCCTCCTGATTTTGTGGGAGACGCTGGTGATCGCCTACATTTTGTGCTGCTCTTCCTCGAGGCTGATGTCCTAGGGCCCAGCCTGGGGCCCGTCGCCTGGGAGGCGGGGCCGTCTAGTGATCTACCTGTGACTTGTTGGTCAAAATGTATACAGACGGCACAGTGCTGCGCTGACTAGGGGCTGAGAGGAGGCCTCCAGGCTGTGGCCTGGCTGGCTTCAGGGGCGTCTGACAGCCCCCGGAAGTCCCGGAGCCCGCCCCGTTCTGCTAGACATCGCCTTCTCCGCCCAGAGGGCGCTGAGACCGGTCTCTGGAGCAAGGCTGAGCCCGGGAGCCCGAGGGCTGCACGTCGCTGGCCCACCGGGCCTGGTGCGTCTGCCTCCCTCGGACGGGGCGTGCCAGCCCCCGCTGCCACGCAGCCCTTTGTCCTCGAAGGGGGGCCCAGGGCAGGGGTGAGCGCGCCTGGGTCAGCAGGGGCAAGGCTGCTCAGGGGCCGCGCCCACTGGCTGGGAGACGGAGGGGGGCCACGTCCAGGGAGGGACCCAGGGTCTCCCTCCCCCCCGGCCAGTTCCTGGGCAGGATTGGGGGTGAGACACCATGTAAACTGGAAGCGAAGGGGGGTCCCTGGGGCCACCGCGGCAGAGGACTCAGGTTTTTGCCGCCTGCCCTGTCCCCCGAGCAGGGTCAAGGAAGGACTGAGAGAGAAAGCGCAGGTTTCCAGTCTTACCCAGAATTGCAGTAGGCTGACTTCACAAAACAAAGACAAGTGACGGCCCCACAGCAGCTCCTGGAGTGGGGCCATGGAGCTCTGCACGAATCCCTAAGGGGGTCCCCCGGGCCCCGAGGGACCCCTCCCCATCCCCCGCACCCGGCGGCTCCCACACGGATGACTTCTTTGTTGGTCATTGTCCTGGTGGACGGCACCTTATTTGTCAGACGCATGGTCACTTCATGCGGAGGTGGGGCCACATTTCTGTTTCCTTTGAAAGTGCTGTGGTTCTGCACACGGTCAGGCTTGACGCAGGTCCAGGCAGGCGTCCGCCCGGCGTGGGTACAAGGTGCTGTGGCATCTTGGCTCCCCCGGGAGGCTGGACCCTGGGATGTCCACTCCCAGCCGGAGAAAGCCACCGAACTCCAGCTAGAGGGCAGGGCCCCGCTGCGGGGGAGGCGGTGCTGCCGGGTCACGCCTGCCACAGTGGGGGAGCCTCTGTCCAGAGTTGCTGGGGCTGAGCCTGCATCTCTGCTGTTCTGAACATGCGCCTCTTTTCCTCCCGTCTTTCCCCCGCAGGTGACAGCGGACAAAGCAGCACAGAGACAGGCGTCCCCACCCACTCCCACCATCAGGTGCACCCAGAAGGAGAGTGAGCCGTCCACCCCTGCAGCACAGACACCCAAGGCTCGGGGGGGGGGGGCAGGAGTGACCATCCACTACAAGGCAGAGAACTTTCTGGAATTGGCATGCTTATTTCTCTTCCTTCTTCACATCAAAGGCCTCTTGGGTAAGAATTAGAATTTTATAAGGAACAGTGACTTTTTCCTGACTTTTCCATCTGAATACATTTTTTCTCATAAATGTTAAATCTCTGGGGGGAGGGGCGGTGAACCACCAGAAGGGATCCTGAGGTTCTGCTGACGGGAGCCGGGGCACGGCTAGCACACACGCCCAGCGCCCTCGGAGCAGCCGACAGCCGAGGGAACCCCCCATCCCGTCACTGGGAAAGGACGAGGTGCCAGGGCTCTGGGCCCAGTCCCTGCCCAGTCAGGTGGGACCCACCTCTGAGCAGCCCTGTCCCCACCGGTGGGGGCTGCTCCCCAGCCCCCCAGAACTTTCCGGGGCATCTGAAATCCCCGCTTGTGGAGCAAGGCTGTCAGAGCAGCAGGGCCGGTCCCGGGGCCTTCATCCCGCGAGGTTGTCCTGTGCAGCCTGCACCCCGACTCCCCCTGCAAGGTCAACACTGTCCTCTACTGAACAAGTCTCCTTCCGGCCGCTTCTCCCGGTTCCCTGTCCGCCAGGCCCCCCGCTTGGGAGCCGCCTGCTGCCTGGAACAGAGGGCCCCGACCCCGGGCTGCCCCTCCCCGACCCCCAGAACCCCTGGGCCATAGCCCCCGCGCCGCGCCCTCCCAGGTGGGCCTGTCCCGTCTGCTTCCCCGTCCCCGAGAGTGCCAGGTTGCCTGCCTGCCCCGACTGGACTCCAGGGCCCGGGGTCCGGGGCAGCTGCCCAGAGCAGAGCAGGGGGCGCTGAGCAGGGGGCGCCGAGCAGGGGGCAGGGTGGTCAGAGGCCTGAACACACGAAGAACCGTTTGGGGCCTCCTCAAAGAGGCAGCGGCTGGAGGACACCAAGGGTGCTGCTCTGGGCCAGGCCTGGGGGCTCCTGAGCCTGGGGGGAGCAGGACAGGTCACAGCATGTGGGCCTCGCTCAGGCTTGGGCACTGAGAAGCCGCACCCCCTCGCCCACCCGTGGGCCGCCCGCGCTCAGGGGCCGGCTCTCCACCGCAGTGCCCGCGGCAGCCCTGGGCTGTGCATCAGGCACGGTGCTGGCTCCAGTGCGCAAGTGTCTGTGGCCCTGACGCCCTCGGGGTCCCATCCTGCAGGGCCTTCTGGGAGCATCTCACTTCTTCCCAGACATTTCTGCTGACAGAGCTGGGCTGTCTCCCCAGGGAGTGGGGGTGGGGGCTGGGCTAGGTGATGTGGAGCCCCCAGACACAGCCCTCTCTCCCTGGGGGGGGCGGGGTCATGCGGAGCCCCCACCCCCACAGAAGGATGCCAGCAGGACATTTTTCTTTTTAAAAAAAAATTTTAGGGGCACCTGGGTGGCTTAGTCGGTTAAGCGTCCGACTTTCGCTTAGGTCATGATCTCGTGGTTTGTGGGTTCGAGCCCCGAGTCGGGCCCTGTGCTGACTGCCAGCTCAGAGCCTGGAGCCTGTTTCAGTCTGTGACTCCCTCTCTCTCTGACCCTCCCCTGCTCACGCTGTCTCTCTCTCTCTCCTAGAAATAAATAAAACATTAAAAAAAATTAAAAAAAAATTTTAATGTTTATTAATTTTTGAGAGAGAGATAAATAGAGAGAGAACATGAGTGAGGAAAGGGGCAGAGAGAGAGGGAGACACAGAATCCAAAGAAGTCTCCAGGCTCTGAGCTGTCAGCACAGAACCTGCCGTGGGGCTCGAGTCCGTGAACCGTGGGATCATGACCTGAGCTGAAGTCGGACGCTTAACCGACTGAGCCACCCAGGTGCCCCTTGCAGGACATTTTTCATAAAGAACGTTTGAGTCTGGCTTCTTCCTCCACCGAATACGGCTGTGGGACAGTGAGGGGAAAGCTGCAGTTCTGGAAGGTTCTCCTTGCCTTGTGCTTGGCACACCATGAAAACCGCTCTGAGAATCCTTTTTTTGACCCTTGCCTCTTTCTCATCCTCAGACCAGGGCCTGAAAGGAAAAGCCATCCCCCCACGCACCTCTGCCAACTTGGGCGGGCAAGTCCTCAGGTCTCAGTGGGTAGGGGGAGCCCCTCCCACACGGGGGACCCATCAGGAGAAAGGGCCCCCCAGTCACCTTCCTGCAACGTTCTGTAAAAACAAGACAAGAGGCCCAAACCGGAATCGCTCACGCCAAGCCCCAACCACCAACCCGAGGCCTGATCACAGGGTAGGCTCCCCCGGAACTGGGTCCGTCCACAGTCAGGCGGGAGGCGCCCGGCGTTGCGGGGCAGGTCACCTGCCTGATCGGGCCCTGCTGTCCCCTAAAGAAGGAGGACCCACCAACCCGCCTTTCGCTTCTATAACCTCCCGTCCACCCCCTTCTGCCTGTGAGTCTCATCGCATACAGCTCCTCGAGCGCCTTCCTGTCTGCTGGGTGCGCCGCCGCCCCATTCAGGAATCATTGAACAAACCCAGTAAGATCCTTAAGCATGCTCTGTTGACGTTTGCTTTTGAGCAACTCCAAACGAAGCTGCCATGTGAGTCCAGGGCCGGTGGCTACGTGGCTGCCTGGTGTCCACGCCTGTGAGGCTGTGGGGCCCGCGGGAGGCGTGCGGGGTGGCCTGCATCAAACACGCGGGGAGGTTGTGCCCGCCTTGGACCTGGTGCCAGGAACAGAGGGCGCATCCCCGTTTCGGGTACAGGAGCGTGTGGGGGGCTGGGACTGGGGTCCCCTCTGGCCGCACCTCTGCTTCACCCCGGCTCTGCGGCTCTGGGCACACAGGTAGATGGCCCCGCGTGCTTGAAGCACTTGAAAAAACTGCAGATTCCTAGGAACAGCCGCGGAGAAACCGCGGAGAAACTCGAGATCAGCCACGGAGGGGGTATTGGGAAACGGCCCCAGGCCTCCCTGCTGCTGCCCGGGGGCCACGCCAGGGGCTCCCGTCCCTCCGGCCACCCGTCCACCGCACTGCCCGGCTCAGGTGACCTTGACTGTGACTGCCAGAGCTTTGCACCGACTGTCATTCTCCGTTTCCTTGCCAGTGAGGTGAAGGAAACCATGCCACAGACCCCCACCATACTTGGGTAAGAAAACACTTTCACGATTTTTTAATCCACTTTTTCACTTTTTTAAAAAGACTTTATTTCTAAGTAATCTCTACATGAAAGGTGTGGCTCGAACTCACAACCCTGGTATCAAGAGTCGCACGCTGCACCGACCAAACTGGCTGGGCGCCCTGAGAATTAGGCTTCTACACTACATATCAGAAATTATGGGGTCTGTAGTGCTCAGTGCTCATACCTTGCTTATATTAACAAGAAAAAGTGAAAGTAATTAAATTAGGCATCCAACTCAAGAAGAACCAGAACATACCACCAAGTTAAGCGACAAAAGGGTGGGGTAAGAATTGAAGAAGAAATTAATCAACAATGAATTGTAGGATCAGAAAATAAAACCAAAAGCTCATTCTTTAAAAAGAGGAAAATGATTAAACAGAGAAACCATTAGCTTAGCTAACCTAACCCAGAAGGAAAGGAAGAGACACAAGATGAAGAAATGATGATAGGAGAAAGCCCTGGACACAGAGGAAACGAAAAACAGCCGTAAAAACTGTTGTGTTCAGGTGTGTGTGCTCTAAAGGCCTGGTGACACGGGTGTGCTTCCAGAAAAATGCAGGTGCACTCGGGAGAAACCAATTATCACAGGAAAATGCTCGTCAAAAATTTGTGGCTCTCCCGCACTCACAGCTGGACATGAACACTCACACACATGCACCCCCACCCCCCACATGTATACACACTCACACCTGGACATGAACACTCACACACATGCGCCCCCACCCCCCACATGTATACACACCCACACAAACATAACCACACGCGCATCCACCTACATGCAGAGTACTCACACACCCACCCACACATGCACACTCATGCATGCACATCCATTCAAGCCACATGCATGTGCACACACACACGCATGGCCACACCATCTACACTGACACGCGTATGCAGCCCTCCATGTGCATGCACACCCACTCACACAATGCACACTCCCCCACATGCATGCACACCCACACACACGTACACACCCACGCATGCACACCCACAAACTCACCTGCTCAAAACACACGCAAGAAGATGCTCAGTTGCACCGGTGCAGGCAAACTTTAGGGAACGCGGGAGTGCAATCTTACGGAAGCCGTGCAAGAGCAAGAAGATTCGAGGACCAGCGTCTGAGCTGTTTGAGAAGAAACTGTCCGCCCCTCCCCCACCAGGATCGAGGCACAGATTCTAAGCAACCTGTCGGCAGCACCAGACCCGTCCCTCGGCCCCGGGAGGAGCCAGCCCGGCCTCGCCGCGACCTCGGGCATCTGCCCCTGGCGGTCCTGCCATCCCGGGCGCTCGCGGAAGAGATGCTGGCGCGGCCGCGCCGACCACCCTGCAGGCCTGGGAACCAGACGCGGGCCCGTCCCAGCGTTACCCGACGCGCTGAGGGACACAGGCGCACGCTAGGGACCTCCCGCTGCCGGCGGCCACGGTGCCGTCCGGACACCAGCGGGGGAGGAGCGAGGAACGGCGAGGGCAAGAGCTGCCCGTGAGTGCAGTGTGTCCCCACGTGGGCGACGCCAGACCGCCCGGTGGTGTCCGAGCGGCCGCCCCGGCCTTTCCTCCAGGCGCCTGGGGACAGAGCAGGGACAGGGACAGCACTGGCCGCACAGGAGACTTTCAGAAGGAAACACACTTGTTCTCGGGCACAAAAGGGGAAAGAGCAGGTGGGGGCCTGACCCAAGCTGTCTCTGCTGGATGGGGGACCAGCCAGCAGGAAAAGAACCTGAGTCCCCTCCTCATACTTAAGGCTCCTGTGTAACTAGGAAAATGAGTTTTAATATTGGATGCTCTAGGCTTTGGCAAAGCTCTTCCTACGTGATGTTGGGAGATACTTCCTTGGGGGGTGAATATTTCATAACCGCTGGGCACATGGTGCCGGTGTCTCTGAATAAACAGACATGTTGAGGAGTCTCTGTGGAGCTACCAGCCGGCTGACGTAGGGACTTGAGCCTCTGCCTCTGAGACAGTGCGTGATGGTCGGCCCTGGGGTTTCACAATCAAACCCAGGCAGGATTTATCACACATACGTACATTCACACCCCACACGGACCTCACGTTATCCCGTGTACGTACATGCACGTGCAAGGACCTGTATTCCATCATGCTTTGAATTTCATATTTTATCTAAGAAAACTTAGACACAATACTTGTCAGAAGTCTGCCCTGTGGTCTGCACTGCATCCTAATCTTCTAAAGGCCAAGCTGAAGCCCTGGTGAGGACACAGGTTGGGAGTGTCCCAGGGAAAAAGCAGCAGCAGCAGATTTAACAAGAGAAATATTATTTCTTTTTCACATAAGGCCACGTAGGACCGAGTAGCTACCCCACAGACGGGAGACCCAGGCTTCTTCATCCACGGCATGGAGTTTACCTCCACATGGCACAAAGTGGCTGCTGAAGCTCCAGTCTTCACAGCCACATTTCCACCAGCAGGCAGAAGGAGGGACCCATGAAGGTTGCTCTCCCTTTGAGAATATCCCCCTAAAAGTGCTTTAAAATGACCAGAACTTGATCACTTGGTCACACCGGCTACAAACGAGGTGGGAAGTGAGGTAGGCTTGTGCCTGCCAAAAATCAGTCCGTTGCTGAGAGAGCGAGAGGACAGCGCGTACAGACGAAGGTACTGGGAGCAGCAAGGGCGTCCCAGTCTGGGAGGCCGGCTTCTGCTGCTCAGCTGACGCTTTACACGCTGGGCACTTGCCCCCTGGGCTCACCCGTGGGCAGCCCCACCCCCGCCCCAATGTGGCCGGTCACAGCCTGGTCCTGCTCACAGCCCGAGGCCGGCACGGAAGCTCCGCCCCCCACCCGCTGGCCCTCGGTCCCTGTGCCCCCCATGTCCGCCTGCGGGGACCCCCCCCTCCAGAGAGACCCCGTCGGGACGTCTCTCATCCTGGAGGCGGGTGGAGCTCACGGGGGCAGGGGCTGTAACTCCGGGGGACCCTGGCTCTGCCCACGCCCTGGGGCCTCCGGGCTGCCCTCCTCCCTGCCCGACCTCGGGGCAGGGCGCTGGCGCGGGTTCCTGCAGCCTCGCAGGTGGAGCGCCGGCCCCCCGCCCCCCCCCCCCCCCGGCCTGCCCATCCCCCAAAATGAGCGGTATCTCATTTTGATTTAAACGTGTAGTTCCCTAATTGCTCAGGGCGCCGAGCACCTTTCCATACACTCACAGGGTGATCATAGATCTTCTACTGCCCAGTGTCTCTTCACATCTTCTGCCCAGTATTTTGTGTGTTCTTTGTCTTTCATTATTGATTCACTGGATTTTAAAAATATAACCTTGGCACAATTCCTGTGTCAAGTGTACTTATTGTAAATATTTTCTTCTGACCTCTAGTTTGCCTATTCGTTTTCTTAACAGTCTTTCAAAGAACAGACGTTTCACTTTTGATGACAGCTTTATTTTCTTCCTTTATGGTTTCCCTTTTTTGCCCGAGGTAGGAGACTTCTGCCTGCTCCAAGATGCTGTGATATTTTGCTTCACTCTTTCAAACATTTAAATTCCCCTCTAAGCCTGTGACCTGGCTCACATGACAGTGCCGGGCGGGCATGGTGCAGGGGCTGTGTGTCCCCACGCCCACCCCCGGGCGTCTGGCATCACTGGGGAGGAGACTCCTTTCCCCACTGAGTCAGTACATCTGGCCCAATCAGCGGACTGCGGACATGGGATGTGGTTCTGAACCCTGTTCTGCTCCACTGGTCCACACTGTCTTAAATACCGCAGCCTTACAGTAGGTCTTGAAGTAGCGTGAGTCCTCCGACGCCGCTCTCCTTCAAGGTCATCTGGCCACACCAGGTCCCTTGTGTTCCCAGGTACATTTCGTAGCCGGCTGTCGATTCCCAGAGAGGACACCTCGGACTCCCAAGTCTTCCGACCCCTGGCAGGGCCTCTCAACCAGGGCAGTGATTTCACATCTTTTGTTAAATGTATCCCCGTGTAGCTTGTTCCTGATACCAGTTTCTGTCCTATGTCTGCTGCTCGAATGACCGACGTAATCGATGCTCGCATCTGATGCTGCGCCCTGCCTCTGGCTAAATTCACTTACTACTAGATTTATGCTTTGCACATGCCACAGCCATATTAGCCAACACAAACCCGTCAGCTTTAAAAGGGATTGTCTCATTCCTCTGAAAAGACCCCTCCCCAGATGACAAAGTCCTGCGTCGCCACTGCCTCACCTCTGTCCGCTCCGTTAGAACCAAACGTCTTGAAAAAGCTGTGCACCTCTCCTTCTCTCTGCCCCAGACCGCACTCCCTCTGCAGCCCCTCTGCAGCCCCTCTGCAGCCCCCCTTCAGAGAAATGGCTCTTCCGGGTCACCCACAGCCGTCCCCTCCCGGATCCCACCGCTCTTCCTCGGGCTCCCCCTACTGACAGGGCGGCCACCCCTGACCGGGCCAACGCCCCCCCCGCGACGCCCTCCCTCGGCTCCCGGGCCCAGACCGCACGCCCCCCTCCCACCTCTCGGGCCGGCCTGCGTCCCCCTGCGGCGCCCCCTGCAGCCCAGGGACACACTCACCCACACGCCTGTGCCCGGAGCCCCCGCCCAGCTTGGAGCCTAGCTGAGAAAGTGAACTCGGGGTTCCCCGGGCCTCCGTGCCGGACAGAACGCCCAGGCCCCGCGCCCTCCCGTCCTCTCCCGGAGGCCCCTGTGCGGGTGCAGCCCCGGCCGCCCCCGGGCCCCCCGGCCCCCCGGCCCCCCGGCCCACGCTCGTCCCGCGGCCGCGCTCTCCCTTCCTGCCCGCGGCAAGTGGGCGGCTGTCCGCTGCCTCCGACAGTCCCGGCCCGGACTCCGACACCGCCGAGACCCGGCTGCGAGGCGCGGCACCCCCGCCCGCCCCGCCTGGCACGCCTCTGCTCGCCCGTCCTGTGCCCCCGCGACCCCGTCGGGATCCGCCCCCAGGCCCGCAGTCACGGTTGCCTGACGTCGGTCCCCGCAGGGCGGCCGGTGCCCCGCTGCCCCCCGCGCCCGGCGCCGGCCCAGGCGGGGCGCTCGGCGGTCCGCAGGGCGGGGGGCGGGGGGCGGGCGAAGGACTGCGCTCAGGCTGCGCGCCTTCCGGGGCCGGAGCGTCGGGCCGCGCGGACCCGCCCCCGCGGAGCGCCCCCCGCCCCCAAGCGCGCGTCCGCAGGTGGGGGAAGCGCGCGGGGGGCGATTCGCCTCCGCACCAGTGTGGCCCTGCCGCCGGCCCGTAGGACCGCTTCCGCGTCCCTCTTGTTGCTAGGCAACCGCCCGGCACTGCGGGAGGAAGCCGAGCGGCCGCGGCGCCATGGACCTGGTCGTCACGCAGGAGCTGGCCCACGCCGAGAGCCGGCAGGGTGGGCTGGGCCCCCGACCCCCGGCCCCTACCCCCGGCCCTGACCCGCTTACGAATTCCCAGCTTGGGCAGGTCCGCGACCTCTGAACCCCGCCTGCCCAGCGCTGGGACCTCGGCGACCCCCTCCTCTGGGGAGCTCCAGGCGGCTGCCAGACCCACGACCCTGAGACGCCTGGGACCCGCCGACACCCACTCCCCCCCCCCAGTCACCCCCGAATTCAATGACCCGGTGAAACCCCCGCTTCTCGAGTTTGGTTGACCTAGGCAACGGTAAACCGAGGCGCCTTTTTAAAAGGAGGCGTTTTCAGGGCCGCTGCTGAGGCTGCGGCCGCTGGAGGGGGACAGGGTGCTGTGCGCGGAGGACCCCAGCCCCGCCCCACCGTCCCCACCGTCCCCACCTTGCTGTGGTGCCAGGCGTGCTTCCCCAGCCCAAACCCAGCCTGGATATTGTCGCCTAGATGCTGCCTCCCTGCAGAGGGCGTACGAGCTGATCAAGTCCGCCAACCTGGGGAAATCCGAGTTTGACCCCACAGAAAGCTTCAGCCCCGACCTGTTTGTGCTGTGTGCCGAGCAGGCCCTGAAGGTAGTTACTCCCCGGGGCCTGGGGAGGTGCCTCCTGGAGGTCTCTGTTCTGGGTTTCCTGGGAGCCGAAAGTGGAGCAGGAGAGCCATCCCTGCTGGGGTGTGCTCGGCAGGAAACGGGGGGGCTCCCGGTCCTCAGATCTGCCCCCCAGCCGCTCCCGCAGGGGTTTGCTGCAGGGGAGACAGCCCGGGCAGGGGCGGCTTTCTGGGGCCTTCCGTGGTGCTGGTGGTCTCGCAGATGGGGCAGCCGGACGTGAGCGAGGACTGCATCCAGATGTACTTCAAGGCGAAGGGGCCGGTCACGCAGTTCCTGGGCCGAGCGCATCTGTGCAGGGCCCAGCTCTGCGCCCCCAAGTCCACCGAAAACCTGGTGAGAGCCCCCCGTCTCCTTGAATAGTCCGTCTGAGCGCCCCGCCTTCCTGTGCACAACCCTAGCACTTCAGTGAGCCACGCACACCGTGTGCCGCTCGCCCATCCTGAATCACCTCCCGCCCCGGCTGCCTGATCCTCCTCAAACTTCGGCACCTTGTATCGAAATAGTTACGGTCTCACCCCGCTTCCAAAACGGTGTCAGGCTAGACAGATCCTCAGGTGCCCTCGGGCGGCCTCACGTCCAGTGACGGGAAACTTGCCGTGTCTCCTGCTTCTCCTCTTTCCCTCAGCTCCCGCGTGACGTTTGGCCTTTGCACCCCGGTGCCGGGGTCCTGCCGGAGACAGCGGCCCCCGGGCCAGGCGGGGGGCCTGCAGAGAACTCACATGTGCCCCAGCCCCACCTGCCCACACCTGGGCTGCCTGTAGTGCGGCCTGACGGCCACCGAAGCGACCAGGAGCAACGGTTGATGTTTTAGTGGCAAATTCAGTTGAATTGTGCATTCTTTATGTTTTAGGAGGAATTTGAAAATTGCGTGACTCAGTATATGAAAGCGATAAACTTTGCAAAAGGAGAACCCAGGTAGGCTGATAGCCCCCGCCGCCTCTGACGGGGATTGTGTAAGAGCTTCCCGGGTGCTTGTGCCGATTGCACTATAGGGGGTTTTGTCCTTGTTCTGGTGTGTTTGGGGTGCACGTACGGTCGTGTGCTCTGTCCCCACCTTGCAGAGCTGGGCCGCACACGTGCGATTCCCTCGCCTCCTCCCCTCCTGTCTCCTGCAGTTTCTGTGATCTGCACATGACCTCTGTCTGCCTTCACCCTGGGACCTCTCCTTGGCCCGGTCTCCGGGGCCCCCGTACTTTCTGGGCCTCTCTGAGGGTTTGGCCTCAAGGTCCCTTCCCCCCACAGCCCCCACTTACTATGTCCCCCCCGGTGGAGGGCCCAGGCCAGGGCCTCACAGCTGTAGTGATTCAGCTGACGTTCCAGCGCTGCCTTCTACTTAATTAACGTTTCATTTTTCAAAAAGAACTACTCTCGGAAGTGTGAAGCTTGCACACGAGCTGGTATTCACACAACTGACTTACGTAGGTTATACCATTTAGAGAGGTTCGGGTGTAAATCCTAGATTCACGCCTCCGGGCATCAGTAAGTGCTGCTGACAGCCCCCTCCGGCAGCCCCTGCTGTGGGCGCCGCATACCGGGCGCAGCCCTGCGGCCCCTCCTCACGGGGCACGTGTTCTTTTTTTTTTTTTTTTTAAATTTTTTTTTTTTTTTT